TGGAGAATATACCTTTTGATTGCTCATCTGCTCATTAGCAAATATTTGAGGCCCTGCTATGACTCTGCTGTTCATTAGTGGAGTGACTTGGATAAGAAAGAGCCTCAGTCCTCCCCACTCAGCTTCTCTCCGTGAACTGGGCTATGATTGTCCCTAGCATACACATTCATAATGCTATGAATTAATTATAGTTCAGCATTAAACAATACAATCATGGGGAGAGGGCCGGGGCAAGTGACATAGCAAGCAGCCAGCAAGCTTCTTAGAGAAAGAGCCATTCCAGCTGCAACCAGAGTGTCCCTGGAAGATGGCAAGGACATGAGGGTGAAGGACTTGGGGTGGGGCTAGTGCAGTGTTGTGCAGACTCACAGATAGAAATCACTGTGTCATCACAAGAAAATCAATTTCAATACCCACTTCTCGTTTTAAAGGGAAGGTCCCAGAGAATATTCTACATCGAGAGATGTGTGCCATCACTGTGCAGTCCAAGTTCACATGTCTGTTTGCCAACAGTCCCTGACATGGCAGGGCCTCTGTGTGAGGTAGAAGTGAACCGTGCAAGCCCCAGGGAATGAACAGGAATGACTATGTGTAAAATGTGGAAGCTTTACAGCAGCCCCATTGCATTAACTCGGGCTGAGTTCTCCTTGACCCTTGACCATATACAACTGTTTCTCAGTGCTGTCTCTACCCCCTCTTCCTCACAGATGTTCTTTATCACCTCATCCTGATGCTGGGGCTCTGCGCTGTGTTATAGGAGATAGCTGGGCGGCGGCAGCAACTCTCTCCAAGGCCACCTTGAACTATGACATACTCGTTTATTGCACTGCCAAAAAGAAGAGACAGAAGATTTCATTGCTGGGGAGCTGAGAATAGCTCTTTGCCAAATATGTGTTCCCTGTGATTTGTGTGTGTGTGTGAATTTGGTGATCCACTGCTCCTTGGAGACACACTTCCTCTTATTCCTTCCTGTGGCCATTTGATCCTGCCAATCCCCCTTCATGAAGGAAGGAGTCTTCTCTCCTCTACTCAAATTAGGGCAGCATTTGAAAGCTACTTTCATAATAAAACAGTCACACACACACACACACACACACACACACACACACACACACCAAGCAGCTTAGCATTTGGAGGCAAAGACTGGCTATAACCTCAAAAGCCAATGCCAACTACAGAATCCATGGGGATAGCCAATTTTTACCCAGCAGGCACTCTGTTACAGAGACAATAGAGCTCTAAGGACCAGAATTGAGCCCATACACAGGAAGTTCCAATCTTCAAGTGACCATGTGGAGATCTAAGTCAAATATATTTGCTCAAACTTTTGTAACAGACAAGAAGTGGGTTCTTAAGAGCCTCTAGTACTACCTTGTTTTTATTATAGGGTTTCTTAAATAGACATAAACATTAAGTAGGCATTATAACAACCTTATCCTTATAACTGACTATATTTCTGCAATCAGAAGTAGGTAGGAAAATAGAGTAAAATTTGTCTTCATTTCACATGATAGTGGGGCATTGCCTACATGAGATGTATTTGCATGACAGCGGGAAGACTGCCCGAGTCCTGTTCTCTGAGACTGGAGAGCCCAGCCCCACACACAGCTTATGGCGTTCAGAGTACACCCTGGTTTGCTCTAGGAGGGCTTCCTGTCTGGGATGGTCTAACGCACTTCACCTTCACTGAAAACATTCAAGCCTGTGTCAACTTTCATCTCGATCACTGACGATTGTGGGAACTGAACCAATAAAACATCAGAAATGCAGTGTAAATACAGCAATGGCGTCACGTGACAACACGGTCTCATAACTGGCCATCCCATGACCTCCAATGTGGCAATACCTGTCAACAAGAAACTGAGTAAACCAACCACGCTAGGGCACCAGCTGTGGTGTGACAGGAGAGGCCCAAGTTCTATGTCACACACAGACTTAACTTTTGAAATCCTGTGTCAGTTTGTCCCTCTGTATTTAATGGCCTTGGGAGGTTTTGAGGTCTGCAGTGTGATGATCATTTTACAACTTCCATAAGTGCACCTAGAAATTAAACCAGTTACCAAGTTGTGTTTGTTTGGTCATAGGCTGGGAACAATTTAGACTGGTTCCATGCAGTCTACAATTGGTATCTAGCTGGTGCTCCAATCAGTTTGGAATCTCTTCCTAAAGTAAAGTCAGAGTTCATTGTAATTGGGAAATACAGAAAACAGGCTTCATTGGTCTGGTAAGAAACTCTTACATAGAATACATATAGCCAAGTTTTGGCTGTCAGGCTAAAGCAATGTTTAACTTTCTCACCATGATCTATGATCTTGTATCTCTACCTAGTGCTATGGACTAAATAAAATGCCTGGAATAAATAACCTATGATTGCAGTTTACATGTTCGTGTATTATGATAGAAGCCAATCCTACAACTTTTCCAAGGGCTTCTAGGCTTCATTTATTCAAATATTCCACAAACTTTCCATCGTGTGTACTTCAAACACTCCAGCACAGGAGTTTACAGACCCAGAGGCAAGGAGGTAAAGCCATCTTGTGTGGCTAACATTAGAGCAGGTAAGATCACCTGGGCCATCCCTGCCTCTGAAACTCTAGCATCCCTTGCCAGCCTCTAGATTGCTTGGCTTACGTTTAACTGGTAGCCCCACACAGTGTTTGGCTACCCTTTCTGCCTTAGGACTTCTCTATGAGGGATTAAGAGCAGGGCCTTCATTGTAATATCTGCTGTAAATTCTAATTCATATCAAACACAAAACAGACATCCAGAAAAAAGAAAAAGAAAAACATTCCCATAGGTATTCTTAGTACACACACACACACACATACACACACACACACACACACACACACACACACGCACACATGCATACATACACACACGCACAAACTATTAGATACAGATTTGTGGAAACTGCTCTTATAAAAATTCCTAACTATGATATCTATATTCATTCCTTTTCTGTCTCTCTCCCTTCTTCCCTCCCTCTCTTCTCTCTCTCATGTATATATACACAAATATACCTAGTACATGTATGTATGTGGGTATCTATATTTGAATATAGGTATGTATGTATGAAGAATATAGGTATATATGTGGGTGTCTGTGTTCATGTAAGTCTGTGTGTTTTGTGTGCACGTGCCTGTCTAGATATCAAATGTTTATGTTATGATATTAAATGAAGACAGATTTAACAAAGTCTTTATTATATGAATATGATTAGGTAAGTGGATGGGCTAGGGCTAAGAGCTAATGTACTTCATTGATACAAATACCAAGATGGAACAATAATAGACCTTATTCAATCCCCTCTCTGGAACTGAATAGCATTTGCTAATGCCCCTTTACTATAATGATATTAGATTATTTGGTTACTTCATTTTTTGTTTATAGCTCTGCTGGTCCCTAATGTTGCATTACTGTGTGCTAAAAATATCTCCTTCCAACTAAACTGTAAGATAAAGATGAAAGTTTCATATTCTTATAAGAGAATAAACTCCCAGCATGGCAGCTATCAAAGTAAAAGCTTAACACATAGTCCTTGAGTCCATGATATCTATATCATACCTTGAGTCCATGAAATTCTTGGATGGATGCATGCGTGGATGGATGGATGGGTGGATGGATGGATGGGTGGATGGATGGATGGGTGGATGGATGGATGGGTGGGTGGAAAGATGCATGGATGGTTGTAAAGGGCCTGGCCGATCAATCTAAGAACTACACAAGATATTAAGATTTGTTTTCTCTCATGATGGAGCAAAGTGTTTAGGAAAAGAAGCCATGATGCTCAACACGGGAACAAGGTAGGAAGCCTGAGATGTGGCACTTGGGTCCGCTGTCTCCATGCTGGAGTAGGAGGGATAAACTCCCTAGTGTAAATGCCTTCTGCCTTCCCTCCTCCTAAGCCGCAGTCTAAGGTGGTCAGCCCTTGCTGCTGAAGGCTTTAGGAGGAAGCAGAGCCTCTTGCCAGAACTCTACCAAGGAGAGGAAGTCTCTAAAGGCCAGAGAAATCAGTCATGCACCTCTGGGAAGACACAAACTCCAGCAGATGGGCCTGGGGGGAGGAAGGAAGCATAATTCCAGGAAGGCTTTCCATGGTTGTGAAGAAAGGCAAGAATTAAACATTAAACGGAGCGGTTTTTGTAAATACTGGCATGAAAGTGCCCCCCAATAAATCAAAAGGTACTCAAAAATGTGTCCACGGTACACACCAGCAACAAAGAAAATCTTCATCTAAACAAGGTCTCAAAAGCAGCATTTGATCCAAACGGTCTCTGCATTCCCTAGCAACCACGTGGGCCAGGCAGGTGCAAGGTGCAAAGAAACAAGTGTCCGTAGACCCCTTAAAATAATCCCCCAAACAATTCAACAGAGAATTAATGTTTGTATGTATGCAAAAAAAAAGAAAGAAAAAAAAAAGAAAAGAAAAAAAGAAAAAGAAAATAGTCACCCCAGGACCAGATAGGCTCATCTTCCACAGCTGGATTTGTTAAACTATGCTCTTCGCGCATGTATGAATGGAAAATTCCAGGTAAATCCAAGTCTCGGCTTCAAGAGATGTCGCTTGGTGTGTAGGGGAAATAGGCAATAAATTGTGAACAGAATAGTACCTATTGCACTCACAGAGTTGAGAACCCGGTCATCTAGCTCGCCATGCATGTCTTCCTGCACCGGCCTGGCACAGGCTTCTGAGCCTGCCCACATGGGACAGTTTCTGTCTTGAGCTCATGGTGGGGCGCTTTCCGTTTGGGGTTCCTAGTTCCTTCTAAGCAAATGCATGCGTCTCCCTGGCAAGCCATCCACCTCTTCCAAGGGCACACTAGGAGGCAGTCTGGGAGCGAAGGGTGAAGCAGGAGGGGATACCAGTTAGACAGTGCCCCCTAGTGGGAGATCCATTCAATGCCCCAGAACTACACCTCTTCAGAGCGATGGATATTGGATGCATTCCCCAAAAGGATCCCCATGCTCCATAAACCTCTTGAAAGAACATACCCGCCTCACAAGATCTCCGGAACTTTAGCTTCTTCCTCCTCGGTAAACTCGGGGAGCGGGACAGTGAAGCCGTCTTTGCCTTTCAACCAGAAGGTAGTCTGTTCTCCCTTGCCCTGTGGAAAGCGAAGGAGGGTCTGTCTGGTGAGCCGCTGACATGGAAGCCTGGCTGGGTCTGGCTTCCTCGGCTAGACAGCAGGAGCCGTCTCTTTGGAAGAAACACCTCCTTCTGTATAAAATTCCTGACACGGACAGGCAGTCATGCTCTTCTGTGCCGGCAGAGAACAAATTTCATTGCCCCTTCCCCAATCTTAAAAAATATAATCTGAATTCATGGTGTGACTTGACTGCCAAGGAAAGCTCGTCACATGCATGTGCACATAGAATCTGCATGCTCAACATTACAGCCAGGCCCATTTTTCACATGCACAACCAAGTCCTCCGGTCAGATCCCCAGTGAGGAGGGGACATCATCCCAAGAAAGCTCTACCACACTGCTGCCAAAAGGTCCTCTTTCCACTTGCTGAGGGATACAGTGTGCTGGTACCAGGGAGCTGACGTCACTCGCATCTCTCTCACTTTTCAATGCCCTGCCTTTGGCAGTACCGGGGAATGAACCTAGGCCCTCATACATGCCAGGCAATTCTTCTCTTTTCAACTCTTCTCTTTTCTTCTCTTTTCACCTCTTTTTCTACCCAAACAGCCAACCCTACCCAAACAGCCAGTGTCGTAGTGACCACCACTGCTGTGTGTACATCTCCAAGATGATACTGAGAATGCCTCCAGAGGAGCATCTGTCCTCCCCTCCCCCACCCCAGGGAAAGGCAAGTCTGAATGGGGTGATGAGAATATGTCATCCAATCATTTCTGTGATAGGACAGGACGAAGAAGACTAAGAAAACGGTGAGAGTGATTTTGTATTATACACAAATGAGGTCCTATTATCTCCTAGGCCAACCGATAGATTTCTGTTCCCTCTATCTGGACATGTTGGTCCCAGGGGAAGGGACACAGAAGGAAAGAGTGTTGTGGAATATCCCTTTACATTGTATGAGCATATGTCGCTATGGTTGGTTTAATAAACAAGCTGACCGGCCAATAGCTGGACAGGATGCAGTTAGGTGGGGAAGCCAAACTAGGAGAAGGATGGGATGAGGAAGGGCGGAGTCACTGGCAGACACAGAGGGAGCAGGAGATAAATGCATCATGCTAATAAAGGTACCACAATGTAACAGAGCATAGATAAGGAACATGGGTTAACTTAAAATGTAAGAGCTAGTTAGTAATAAGCCTGAGCTATTGACCAAACATTTACAATTAATATCAGCCTTGGAGTGGTTCTTTGGAAGCATCTGCCTAGATGGAAAACTCCGCCTACAAAAGAGGGTTGCATTCACTGTGGCTTTGTAGAGGGACTCCATGGGAGTGTCCAAGTGGAAGCTGACAAACTATTAGGTGACATAAAAGTCATCCCTCAGGAGTGACAGCAAAGGCATTTTCTATTAGAAATCTGTAATGATAACTCTTTCCGCCAGCTGCCTGGGTTTTGCTTCTGTTTTAGGGACCCCAAATAACACATGGAGTCTTATATTAGTTATAATGCTGCTGGCCAATGACTAGGATTTCTTATTTGTTAGCTCAGTCTTAATTATCAACCATAACCACTAATCTATATATTTTATAAGGACTTATCTTATCAAGGACACCTGACATATGTGTCCTCTCTTCCTGGGATTTACATGGAGACTCTCTCTTTCCTACATTTCCCAGAATCCTCCTTCTCTCCTACTCCCACCTAATTTGCTTCCCTATTGGCCAACAGTCTTTTATTTATCAACCAATAAGACAAACATATACACAGAAGGACTTCCCCCATCAGAAATCCAAAACTGACCACTGAGGGGTCTGAGCCTTCTCCTTAGGAGGCAGACTCAGCAGTTACAAAAGCCTCTGGAGAGCCCCCAGAAGTCTCGTTGCTCCTCTGTATAGAGATTGGCTCATCTCCCCCAATTCTTCAGCCTGTCTATCACGGACACAAACCTGGGAAGTGAAACACAGTCAACCTGGCCTTACCTTGACTGAAATGGTGCCTCTCTTTTGCAGATGGTACCCTCCTGCTGCGAGAAGAGCTCCTGCAGTGCTCTGGGAAACATGGATTCGGAGAGCTGCCAGAAACCAGGCATTGCCTAGTTAACATCATGTCACTGGAGCAGTGTGACAGGAGTTAGGGTGTGAGGGCTTCTTTGGAGAGGAGACCAACCTTACTCTCTCATTCTCTATTCTCCAGAACTTCTTGTGAAACAAAACACAGAGCTGAGTATCATAATCCCAGCCCATGGAAAGCAGAGACAGGGGATCTGGAGTGCAAGACCAGTTTTAACTACATCATAAGTTCTAGGCCAGCCTGGGATACAGTAAGACACTATTTGAATAAATAGGTAGATAGGTGTAGGTCGATGATGATAGAAGATAGATAAATAGATAGATAGATAGATAGATAGATGATCATAAATAGATCATACATGCATGCCTACATACATATACAGACAGATAGATAAATAAATGTAAACCACAAATAATATCCAATGTCTGGAACACATAGGTTGGGACCCTCAACCACCCAGGCATTGGATACTGATGGATGCTTATTAGTGTTTGGTTTAGCAACACAGAGAACTGATTCATTTTGCAAGTTGACAGTCCCCATGAATGGAGGCTCACTGGGTTTCTCAAATTTCCTGAGATGCACTGAAGAAATACTGCTGAAAATGTTGCCGTAACCAAAGGTGCATGCAGAAACAGTTCTGGAGCTGCCTAAGCAGCCAGCTTCCGCATTTCCTCTAGCCTTTCCCTCACAAGCTAACAGCTTTAAATCTGTGCTTTAAAGTTGCTTCATCAACTTGGGCAATGAAAGAACTGCATGTGTTTATACATTGTGAGAAATCAGGGCAATCAAAAAGACGGAAATCTAAATTCTTTGAATGTTTTTCCATGTTTCAGCTGAAAAATAGCACATGCATATATATCATGTATCGTGTATGTATATATAGTTGGTTCAATAAAATCACTAGAAAATATACAAGAATATGCTGCTTCCTGGAGTCCTGGTCATAGATTTCCTCTGCACCACCAGGAATATACTCTACATCAGAAATGGAATTATTACTACTCACAGGGCAGTTTGCTCACTATTTGTGTTTGCAAATAAAGTTTTATTGGAACAGGGTCTTGCTATACATTTACATGTTTCTTTCTTTTTTTCTTTTTTTCCCGAAGCAGGCTTTGGAGGCTGACCTCTTGTAGACCAGGCTGGCCTCGAACTCACAGAGATCCTCCTGCCTCTGCCTCCCGAGTGCTGGGATTAAAGGTGTGCGCCACCAATGCCTGGCTTTACATTTACATGTTTGTAAATCTACTCTTGAACTACAACATCAGAATTAAGTAGTTGCAACTGACACTATATGGCTCCTAAAACTAAAATATTTACTATCTAGGCCTACAGAAAATACATTTGCTTTGCTCTTATATGCTTCCATTATGTGTAGTCTGTTAAGAATGGGGAGAAAGGCTAAAGGGATAGCTTCGTGAGTGAATAAAGTGCTTGCGTGTGAGCTTGAGGACCTGAGTTTGGATCCCTAGCACCACGTAAGAGCTGGGTGTTGTGCGTGGCTATAGCCCCAGTGTTGGGGAGCAGAGACAGGTCAATTCTGAGAGCTCACAGGCCACCCAGATTAGTCAATCAGTGAACTTCAGCTTCAGCAAGGGACCTTGTCCCCAAAAATAAGGTGGACAATGGTAGAGAAAATACCTGACATCTGCCCCCGATACACACAACAGGTCAATTCTGAGAGCTCACAGGCCACCCAGCTTAGTCAATCAGCTTCAGCAAGGGACCTTGTCCCCAAAAATAAGGTGGACAATGGTAGAGAAAATACCTGACATCTGCCCCCGATACACACCCACACACACCCACACACGCACGCACACACCCCCACCCGCCCCCCCACCCGCACACACACACACACACACACACACGCACACACACACACGAGGTCGAGGAGAAGCCATGTGTGTTTATGTAGCTCCACTGAGCACGCAGGGGGAAAAAATTGCTGTCTACATAGCTGGTGGATCAGATTGTCTCCTGGGAATAAAGATCGTATCTTCCAGATGGAAAACAAGAGACAAAATGCAAATGAGTTTCTAAAAATACCCACAGCTTAGAGATAAGAGGGACAGGGATACTGTGCTTGCATCGAGGTGCAAAAGATACCCACGGAAACTGCTGCTTTCCATTCTGGATGCCATGTTCACTGTGTCTCCAAACAGACAGTATCTGGGCATGGTGATTCCCACCACACCGGCCACCACAGGACCTGAGGAGGGGACAACAGAAGGGTCTAACTGCCTGCATTCCCCAAGGCTGGGCTCCACGCAGGCCATCAAGCACACAGAGGAAATTGAGTCAACAAGTATTTATTTAAGTGTCCTTGGAGCAATGCTGGACAATCTGCACTGTAGAGTGCTTGTAAAGCATCTGCAGGACACGCACGTCGAACCTTAACCACATTACTCATGAACTGCAGATGTAAGCAAAGCCCACAGCGGCATGAACTTGAGGAATTAATTCTGGTTGGAGATCAGGTTTGCTCTCGGTTGGATAGAAGGACTATTAGAAGGACCATGGCTACATAATTTGGGGCCGGGGGTGGGGGTGAGGAGGAACGGGGGACACTCATGCAAAAGGAAAATATGAAGCATTTGCTCAAAGGGGTATCAAGACAAGTATCTGCCTGTGTCTTCAGGGAGGTTGAGGCAAGATGACAAATTTATGGCCAACGTCAGCTGGGACTCTCGGCTGCAAGACTCCCTCATATTTTTTTTTTCAAAACAGCAATAAAAGAATACTGAACCAAATAGGGATCGCTCACCTGCAAGTCACAAGCCCATGAGTTTGACAAAAAGAGAATGTATCAAAGCAGTGTTAAAGGGAAACATGAAGGAAATACAGCCCAGTATGGCTCCCACACTCTGCCTGCACAGGTTTTTTGTTTTTTTGTTTTTTTGTTTTTTTGTTGTTTGTTTTTTTTTTGTCTTGTTTTGCTTTGTTTTGTTTTTGTTTGCTTTAAACACCTGACTTTCTGTGTATTCTTATTCTCAAGAACCAGTTCAACTAATTGGAAATGCGTGTGCATTCTGTGGTGTCCTGGCACCATAGCCATTTAATGACTGTGTTCCTAGAAGCCTCAGACACAGGACTCAAATCCAGAGCCACCTGCGCTCATCACGCAGGTAGCGTCTGCCACCCGCCATCGGTTCTGTCTACCTGTGTGGAGGCCTATGCGGAGCTTGAGTCTCTCCTCAGGCATGTGCCCAATCTGAAAGTGGGTGGTGGCACTGAGCAGATGCAAGGACATGGTGGCAATCTCTTCTGCATGTTGCGCTCCATTGCGAATGGGAACCCCACTGGCCACCATGTATGCATCGCCAATGGTTTCAACCTGCAAATGACACAGCAAAGTGTTCTGAGTTTTAGGGAGGCACAGGGGTCAATGAGGAGATGGGTTAGACAACAAGACCCCCCTCTTCCCAGACCCTCTCCTGAGGCCTCATACTCCAAAGCCCAACTCTCACTGACCTCCGCTCCACCTAGGGCTAGCATTTCTTCCAGTCTGCTCTTGTCCTGGTTCCTCCACAAACCATTGCTCCTCCCTATAGCCACCACTTGCACCTCTAGACCTGATAACCCTGATGCCATATTTCCCTAGCCCAAGGTCAGAACCAATTAGACAAGCAGCCATATAGAAGTTGGGTAAATCCTGGAGCATAGAGTGGGTCTCTCAAGCAGAGTCCATATTAGCCACCCCGAAAAGTCCTCATGCCGCATAAGGTCTTAGAAACACTCACACACCACTCACAATGCACTCACTCACACACACATCTAAACATTTGTATCACTATCTGTGCCCCCCTCCACCAGTCCTCCTAATAAAACCACAGTCCGTATTGGCATAGAAGCAGACCCCAAAGATGCTGTGGAAGACCACTATATTGGTCAGCTGGTAGGAAAACTGCCTGTGGGAACACTTCTCTCCTGGTGACCCCAAAATAAGTCAACTACCCAACGAGTCTAACCCTGTTCTAGACCACGCTTCCTGTCCTGAGAACAACCTTCACAAACACAAACCAGATGTGATAGCCACCCATGCCAAGTGCCCTCTAGGAGAGAAAGCTAGGAAGATAATTCCAGGGGGCTCCACCCTAGGCAGAGCAGGGTTGGGGATCAGGTCTCAAAGGTTCTCTGTGCCATCATCATTTGTGGGGAGCACTAGGGGATGCCCACTCAGTATCTATCACTCAGGGATATGGCCGCACTGTCCCCCAAAACTTCCCAGTCCTTCTCTGTCCCAGGACATGGATAGAGGTAGAGGCAGGGTTCTGGGGTCATGGGCAGGGCAGATATGTTGTGGCTGACTAGCAGGTGTATGGAGGCACACAGAACTTCCCTAACGGTGATCTGCCCCACAGAGTGTGTTCAACAGGGAAGCAAGATAGGTGGGACTAAGAGTCTAGGAGGATTCTGAGAAATGTATTAAGGGGTCGCCATGTGATGGCCAGGAAGAGAGGACACATGCCACTGGAATCCTTGGTAAGATAAGTCCTTATAAAAATATATAGATTAATAGTTATGGTTGATAATTAAGACAGAGCTAGCAAATAAGAAATCCTAGTCATTGGCCAGCAGCAATGTACCTAATATAAGACTGTGTGTTATTTGGGGGCCCTAGAGCAGGGGCAGAACCCAGGCTGCTGGCGGAAAGAGTTATCGTTACATCACTGTTTTTGCTGTCTTCCTCCGCCTCCTTTCTCACTCTGGGGGGCCATGTTTATGTGTTCCCTTGAGTGGCACCATGCAGGTCATAGCTGTCATCTCCCCTTTAGCCCCAGCCCAACAGTCTAAATTTGAAGAGTCTGTCTTCACCCTGGATTGCTAAGGATCATGCCAACACAGAAGTGAGATTCGCAGAGGATGCAAAGTGGGCAGCTATAAGCTTCCCCGGATCTGAAGGACACCCATTTTGTATTGGCCAATGCCTCTTTGCAAACATTACTGTGAGGTTAAAATAATGGGTGGAGATAGAGAGTGTTGGGAGAGAGAGAGAGAGAGAGAGAGAGAGAGAGAGAGAGAGAGACCCACCTTGGTTTTTGAGACAATGTCTCTCACTGGCCTAGAACTCACCAATTAAGACGGTTGACCAGTGAATCCCAGCAGTCTACCTGGCTCTGTCTCCCCAGCACTGAGAACTTTGTACCATGAAGCCCTGCTTATTTTTACACGGGTTCTGGGGGTCAAATTCAAGTCTTCCAGCTTGCAAGACAATCACTTTAGTGACCAAGTCATCTGCTGTCTCCACATGGTGACTCTGGACAAGCATGTGCATTTGGAACTTAATCAGGCCCCTTCCCAAGAAGACAAACAGAAATAAATCATGGAGTTTCTGCTGCTGTGAATTGAGATTGACTCAGTCAGCCCAGAGACAGTGGAGAAGGAGTCTGTATACATCACAGGTCTATCATCAGTCAGCCCAGAGACAGTGGAGAAGGAGTCTGTATACATCACAGGTCTATCATCAGTCAGCCCAGAGACAGTGGAGAAGGAGTCTGTATACATCACAGGTCTATCATCTGTCAGCCCAGAGACAGTGTGCTCACCTTGTACACATCATGGCTTTGTATTGTGTGATCAAACACGCTGTACAGGTCATTGAGGAGCTTCACCACTTGCAAGGGGGAGCTGAGAGAGCACAGTTTTGTGAATCCCACAATGTCAGAGAAAAAGATAGTGACGGACTCAAAATGTTCTGGTTCTACGGACTTTCCAGCTATGAGCTGCTCCCCGACGAAGCTGTAATCACAGAAAGGGCAGTTCTTAGCCAGCTCACACTTGGTTCCATTTCCACGGCTCTCAGCAAAGGCGACCCTTCTACAGACCCTCTGGCTTTGGTGGGTTAGGATTTTACTTATTAAATTCACCATCTAGAGGTGTCGTATGATATTTTGATCATATTCTGACACTAAAGCTTGCCTGGAGTCAGAGGATAGAGCTAGCCACTAGCTGATCAAAACTAGCCATAGAGTTTTGAAGAGGACTAAGGACAGATAGGAGACAGGACGTAGTAAGGCGAGGCTGAGAGAATCTCTGCCCTTTGGACGGAGCAACAAGAAGAGACGGGGTCACTGGTGGCTGCTGTGCTGATTCTCGGATCATTCAGGCTCTTGCACCGATATCTAACCCCCAATTTTCTATTGACAAAGAATAATCAGATAAACGCTTCATAGAGGGCTTCTCATGGCATGCATGCATTCACTTGTGCTTTCTCTAGAGAGACAATTTAAATGTTGGCTGTAAATTGCAAGAAAGGGTGGGGTCAGGGACAGGTCACATAAATGGCTTCATTAGAGACATTTTCTCACTGAAAATATGTTATTCCTTCCTATTGCATGTGGGGTAAAGACTCGGTGTGCAGATGAGTGCACTCAAACCCCCTATGCTCTAAGCAGTGGCTCTCAACCTTCCTAACACCGAGACCTTTAACACATAGCTCCTTGTGTCGTGATGACCCCCAACCATGCAATTATTTTCTTTGCTATTTCATAACTGTAATTTTGCTACTGCTATGAATAATAATGTAAATAGTTTTGAAGATAGAGGTTGGGGGGCTCACAACCCACAGGTTGGAAACCACCGCTCTAGACAGATATGATGGTCCACACCTTTAAGCCCAGCACTCGGGAGGCAGAGGCAGATGGATTTCTGTGAGTTCGAGGCCAGCCTGGTCTACACAGTAAGTTCCAAGGCAGCCAGGATTACATATTGAGACCCTATCTCAAAATAAGTATTGCCCCTCCCACTTTTTGGTTGCCATTCAAATGTACAAGAATTTCAATAGCAAGTGATTTTCCCTAGTGCCCAAAGAATGCACAGGTGGAAAAAGAAGCAAAGCTGAAGTGATTTTTGAATTTTGATGCTACAGGCACGTTTTGAACTAAGCAAAGATTTCAGAGGCTCCTGCAAGCAATGGCGTTGCTGTTGCTTAGGGGTTAGGCATGAAGCTAGTCTGCCATCTAGTGGGAGTATCCTATTGCTGCATTCGCTACCTTCCACACTGTATCTTCCATTCCTGTGGATTGGGTTGGTTTGCCTGCATTTTCATTTACAAGGTGGGCCAGTTTGCCAACTTTTGCACACATACACAGCTCTCCCTCCCTCCCTCCTCCCCTCCCTCCTTCCCTCTTCTCTCCCTCCTTCCCCCTACCCACCACCCAGCACCCCTCCCCCTGCTTGGTCCCCTTTCACAAAGCTTGATATTCTCGATGGAAATATTCCTCCTCCAGTGGAGCTGCTGAGACAGAAAATTTCTTCTTCCTCAAGCTGTTTTTCTGCCTGCCCGCCATTGCTCCCGAGTACCTGGGCAGCATGGTGGACAGGAGCCTCTCCACCTTCCTCTTCTCGGTCTCCAGCTGGCAGGTCCTCTCCTCCACCACTTCCTCCAGGTGATTGGCGTACATTTCTAGCTTTCCCATCATGCTATCCAAGAGGCTTACACGGCTTTAAAACAATGCAAATGTTAGCATCCTCTTCCAGGAACCACTGGACCACAGTGGAGACAACTCCCAAACACAGGACCGAGGAAAACACTTCTTGTCCTTAAGGCGTGCTACTGGAGGACTGGCCACGACAACAGTGGCAAAGCCCCACACTAAGATTGTACCATTCCTGGCCCGAAGATGAAGCGGCACCTTTTATTTCTCTGAGCTTGGTTTACTCTTCTGAAAAATGTACCTTACAATTGGTTTCTGGGGATCCCAGGAGCTAATGTGTATAAAATGCCTAGGGGTGAATCTTGTGGCCAGCCAACAGTCAACAGTGGCCTTCGATGACTCCTCCTCACTTCCCGACATGCTCTGTGCCACAGTTACAACAAAGTGAAAAAGTACAGATTGCAGAGTGGGGCATTTCTCAGATTGCTCAACATGGATCCTGTCTAGATTCCATTTCAGAATGCCCCTGAGACAGCACCTCAATCCCTCGCCTCCAGATGAGAAGACTGAGACTCAGGTAGGAAATAAGTTTGTCTTAGTGTTGGGACCATAAGACAAAGAATGCATATTTTGAAACATCATAGTTTATTTGATTAGTATAATTAGTATCAATAGTTCATACAGCAATTAAAATAATATAAAAATCATAAATTAAAAAATGTAACCTGGAGAACACAGGTTGTTATGTTAAGAATGCCACGTTAAATGGGCAAGTTAGAAGTAGACACTTTCATGACAGGGCTCTCTCTGCTTCCTCAAGATACCTCTGGGGAATTAAACATTCACTGTATTAAAAATTATACCATCAGGCCAGGAAGTGGTGACATACACCTTTATTCCCAACTAAGGAGGCAAAAGCTTTCCTAGGCTTCTCTGAGTTCAAGACTAGCTTGATCTATATGGTGAGTTCCAAGCCAGGCAGGGTACATAGTAGGAACTTGTCTTAAAGAAAGAGAGAGAGAGAGAGAGAGAGAGAGAGAGAGAGAGGGAAATAAAAAGAAGAAATAAAGAGAGAGAGAGAAAGGGAGAGAGGGAGGGAGGAAAGAAGGATGGAAGGACAGAAGGAAGGAAGGAAATATCATGGTGCTGGAGAGATGGCTCAGTGGTTAATAGCACTTTCTGCTCTTGCAGAGGACCCAGGTCTGGCTCCCAGTACCCACAGGGCAGCTCACAACTGCCTATAACTCCAATTCCAGGGAATTGGACAGCAACTCCGGGATCCAGGGACACTGAAAGTCACTGGCTCACATAAACTTAAGAAGGCATACACACATTCACATAAATACTTTTTTAGAAATTATTCTGTAAGTCTAATATTTAGGAAGCTGCTATTGAGAAAACAGATTTGAGAGGCAAGCTTAACCCAAAGTCAGTTGCCAGCTGTAAGGTTGGGAGTTAGCTCAGTGGTGTCCCCTTGCCTAGCACACACAAGGCCCTGGGTTTCATCCTCAGCTCTGTAGAATAAAACAAATGAGTGATAATCTAAGGTTGGCGAATGATTTTCATCCTGTGATCCAACCCCAAATATTAGTTATGATCCTTGGAATAACAATTGAAAAGGATACTAAGGCAGTCTCAAAACATCCTGGGAATGAGAGCCTTAACTGATTAGAGATGTCTGAATGGGCCCAGTGGACAGTGACCTCATTGTCTGACCCATGTTCACAAAGTAAATGATGACTCAACCACTCCACTTTAGCCGCGTATAGAACATACTTTGCATATGGTGGACATTAAGTAGATACATGATGATAGGAAGAAGGAGGGGGCAGAAGGGAAGATGGATAAGAAAGACAGGAGAGGAAGAGGAGAGGGGAGGGGGAAACAAGAGTAGAAGGGAAGGGTTGGGAGGAGAGGGAAGGAAGGAGAGAAAAGCCGGAACTTTTTCAATTCCCAATGGCTAAAAGACCAGAAGGCAGAACCTACTGCACAGTTAGCTTACCCCCTGGGACTGGCTTCTTGTAACACCTTCTTGATGGAAGGGAAGGTTGGCCTTTGCTCCGGAGACTCATCCCAGCAGGCCCTCACCAGGAGGACAATCTTTTCATCACCTTTATCCCCCAGCAAGGTTGGTCGCAGTGGAAATGGTCCCCTGGGGTCTTTGATGCGGCTGATGATTTCTGAAATCCATTTGGGATTTGGAGAAATGAGCTACATAGCTTTGTCATTCACCACCCACCTGTCTAAATGGTGATGGCACCCACCAATTTGAAAACAGTTTAAAATAAACAACATATTCAAATTCCAGGACAATCTAGACGTGTACATAGATATTCTAGATCCTGCTAGAAAATTAAACAGCCCAATGGAAATGTAAAAACCCCCTGACTTCTCAGTTTCCAAACAGGCTTTTTAAAGTAGAGCTCCTGGGGGTGACCTTCCAGATGGGGAGGCATTTGGTGCCCAGCTTTCCAAAGTGTGCCTCGTGCGATGTTGTATCCCATGCTTCATGAACGTGATTTTAATGAATAAACCCTACTGTCTCCCTGACTGCCCAATTCTGCAAACCCCCTTGTTTTCACTTCTTCATTGGCTTCCCACCAACATTTGTTTAGGGATTGCATCTCCCACACTCTTAAAAATATTCTGAGAACAATGCATAGATACTTTGATATAGAAATAATTTATGCAGCAACAGCATAAATGAGCACATGCAGCTAAGTAACAGGAGCTGGCATGAAAAGAGTGTGTATGTGTATGACGTGGTAATGAAGGCTAGAGAAGCAAGATTATAGTTCAAAGGTGTCTGAGACTTTTGGAGACGGTTGAGTGGGTAAATGGGGAGAGAAATGGGGAGAGGGTCATATTCTGTTTGATGTTGTAATGGTGGTGGTCACGTGGGCATTGAATATTTTCCAACACCTAGGGGAGTTTATAGTACAGTTAGGTTTAAGGGATGAAAACATTGACTTTTAAAATTGTCAAGTAGGACTGAGAGAAGCTGGCCGTGGTACCCAGGCCATAAGGAAAGGGTTTAACTGTGCTGTGTGTGCGTAATGACTTTGCTGAAGAGAGGGGGAAGGTGCAGACCAACATGATATCTGAGATAAAACAAGAAGAAAAAGAGCCATTCACAATTCTTCCACCCATAGCTATGTCCTAGCTGCTTCTTGTGAGGTCCAGTTACTGAGTTTAAACCACCTTACACCTGTATTGTGACTGAGCAGTAAGTAGACAGACAACAGACAGCAGGAGCCATTTTCATACTGTTGGAGATGGAGGTTACAGAGAAGCAACGGAGGCTGGATCATAGCCCAGTGGTGGCTCTGTCCTGCGGCAGGTGCCCTAGCCTCAGGTGAGTCTGGGCGCTGCTCTGCTGGCCCCCAACCTTCTCCATCAACACCTGCTCGCTTCTGCCTGACCCCACCTGGAAAAGAGTGGACCTCCTCAGTCCAGGAAGGTCTACCCTGAGTCTGGACACACCTCACCCCTGTTTTCTCTTGCCTAGAATTCAACAGCAATACAAATTGCAGAAAACCTACAAACTCATGGAAATTGAATAACACTCAATTACACCATTCCTGGGTTGAGGAAGAAATAAAAAAAGAAATTAAAGACTTCCTAGAATTTAATGAGAATGTGAACACAACATACCCAAACTTATGGGACACTTTGAAAGCAGTGCTAAGAGGAAAGTTCATAGCACTAAGTGCTCATATGAAGAAACTGGAGAATAGTCACATGAGAGAATTGACAGAACAACTGAAAGCTTTAGAGCAAAAAGAAGCAAACTCACCAAGGAGGAGTAGACGCCAGGAAATAATCAAACTGAGGGCTGAAATCAATATAGTAGAAACTAGGAAAACATTACAAACAATCAATGAAACAAAGAGTTGGTTCTTTGAGAAGATCAACAAGATAGACAAACTTCTAGCCAAACTAACCAAAAGGCATAGAGAGAGCATGCTAATTAACAAAATCAGAAACGAAAAGGGAGACATAACAACAGAGAGAATCTTCAGGTCATACT